AAATATTTAAATTTTGTCACAGACATATTTTCATCTTCAGGGGCCACTACAAACAACAAAATAAATAAAATAAACAGCAAGCACCACACTGCAATGTGCTGTTTGGGATTTCTGTTAGTTTTTAAATACACAGTACTATTGAAAGTCATCACACCTCACACTGTTACAGCCCAAAAGGCAAATTTTTTTTTTTTCCAAGGCACTCCTTCCTTTGGCTAACCCCTGACCTGTTGGCTACTTGTCCTTGAGGATGCTCTGCCCAGGTCCCTACAGCAGATGACAGAGGCTTGAAGAGGGCACATCCAGAGTTTCCAGCCCCAGGCATCCTCTGAGAGCAGGGAATGGATCCAGCTGAAGCTGGCACTCGTGGGTAGGTGGCTGATCTCACCACCAGTGGACAAAAATCCCTCACACACTTTAAAACAAGTTACTGCAATAGTCACAACCAGCCCATCAGCAGCTCTTGCCTCCTGCCCACATTCTGAGATATCTACTCGCTTCTTCAAAATACTGATGTGTGTGCCAGAGTCCCAGCAGAGTAATTCCTGCTGTTACACTGCAGTTAAAAGCAAACCCTTGCCCTCAGCAGGGTGATGCCAGCTAAGAGAAGGCACTTGCAGTGTCTGGGGACTGGCAGCAGCATCTGGATTCCTGCCAAGAGCACAAGAATCTGATTATTCTTGGCAGAAGATGGCACCAAGTGACCTATCTAAAGACAACCCTTTGGGATCCCATTGAGGTCTGTAGCTCTAGTCTGGCAAATCATATTATAATCTCACACAGTAGCCTTGGAAGGATATTTTATTTTTTCTACACCCAATCTAAACTCCCTGGAGCACCTGACATTTTCTCATTCTGTCATCATTGCAGCAGCAGAAGCTGAACCCACCTGGTCTTTCAGGGAGTGTAGAGAGCAGTAAGGTCCCTGAGCCCTTTTCAGGCAGAGCCCCAGCCCTCTTCATAGACTGGTGCTCCAGACCCTTCATGTTGTGTCACACAAGGAGTTAAAGTTGACACCATTTTTGTAGCTTAGATCACCAATGAGTTTTCAGAAAACGGTTAATGCAGACCTTTGCAGTTCTTTTCCTCACAGTGGTTGCCAATAACCAATTTACTCTACGGTCATGATTAATTATTACCTTAAAGTAAATACTAGGCAATGTGCTTGCATAGAAGAGGCTGCTCAGAAATATTGCTTACATTCCAAATTAATTGGAAAATTCACAATCTTGTTTTTACTTTTCAGCAAATTAAACTTCTCTCAAACCTGTTTCTTGTGTACCTGAGGGAAATCTGAAAGTGTCTTGCCAAAGTGAAAGTATTAAAAAGTAAAAAAAAAATGAACGTCTCATCCTGATGAGTTGTGCTACTTGCTAGTATTTATAAAGATTATGGATCAATTTTTGCTCCTCTAATGAACTAATAAGTCTGAAATCTTCTTGGATGGGTTATTTCACCCAACGGCTTTTAGAGAATAGACCCATAAAGTTTACAAAGTGATTTCAGGAATAGAATGCAATAATCAATTCTCTAACTACTATCAGGAAGAAGAAATTTTCATATGGTAAGGCAGAATGAATGATTCAGAATGTATTCAGAAATAAAGCTGGTAAAAGAAGTCTAGAATAATTTCTTTTCATATAAATTTCCATTTGTAGCAGCTTTTTGTCTTGCTAAAAATTAGATTTAATGCAGACTATTAAGGTGTCACTGTAAGAGGATACCAAGTTTAGTCTTTTTGCAGTAGTGCATTTCTGTTTGATTTAAAAATATTTTGCTATGTTGTTCATGGGAATTGGTGTTCCTTTTGAAATACAGTAAAATGACCATGTTTAACTACATTATGTATAACATCTAGCACAGTCTTTAAAGAGAAATGGCAAGAGCCTAGATATCTCTGTATGGACAGAAATGTTTGTTTTATACTAGAAATGTCCTTTTATGGCAAACTGTGCTTGGAAATATTATTAAAAAGACAGTTTTGTCTCAAAAGCAAATACATAGTACTATTTATCCAAAGTTTAACTTATCTTTTTCTGATCAATTGGACACAAAGATTTGCAGTCAATGTTCTGGTTTTAATTCTCCTTCCTTTCTAAAATGATATCTTGCTGTAAATTTTGGTTTCAGGTAAAAACAGGATCAATACTTTTTTTCCTAAAAAGCTCCTCAAAGACATATTTAATCCTTTGTTCAATAGGCTGGAAAACAGAAAAATACATTTACACAATACTTGACCATGCATCATAGATATAAAGTTATTTTTGGCTTACAATGTTTGTAGATAATTTCAAGGAAAAATCATTGACATTCGTTCTGACACCAGGATAAGAAAAAGGGGAAGATAAATAATAGTTTCCTGAGCATGACAATGCTGTACAGGAAGTGTGAGGCTAAATACGTATTAATTGCAGACCACTCTGTGGTTTTTGCAGATACAGGTACAGAGTGTTATCAATGAAATCTCTGGGAGAGGCAAAATGAATCTAAACACAGAATCTTTGAGAGAACACTGAGGGTTTATTTCACATGTTGAAAACAAGTATGGAACTGAAGGGTTGCTATAAAACATCTAGGATTTTACTTCACATGGCTGCTCTTGGGAAGATTTCATGAGGGAGAAAAGGTCAGTGAAAATGATGAGCAGTGAGAGTGCAGGGGTTTGGCACCAGTGTTGGGTTTTCTAGTCTTTCTGTTACATGAAGCCTTCCCTGAGTCCTCCACAGCTGTGCAAATCTTTGCTTCTTTGTGTCCACTTATTTGGTCAGAGTTGTGCTGAGTTTTGAAACTGAAGGGTTTTGCCTTCCTGCTGAGTGTTCCTACGAGAAATCTGCTGGATTTGCTCAAGGGGAAGACCAGGGATGGACCCCATGGAAGGCAAGAATCCACAGAAACTGGCTGTCCCAGGTATACAGAGTGAGTGCACATGGAAATGGATGCAGCTTCAGTCTGCTCAGAATGAGGGAAGGACTAGCAAGGACCAACAGGTGACAGGAGAAAACTGGGCAGGCTTGCCTCACTAAACAGTCAGTGTGTGAGGACCTTGCAAGACAGGAAGCTGGAGTTGAAGAATAAGTGATTCAAACGTTTCCATTTCTTATACCTGACTCTGTTGCTTTGAATTCTTCCCATTACAAAGTTTTTAGTTCCTATCAAGGTACACAGATTTTCCCATTAGTTTAAAGCTTTTTGATTTTCTTTGAGGGTTCATGTGAAACAGATTCACCTTGGTGCCTGGCTGACACAGGGACCTGCCAGGTCATAGCTCTGTGACATTCCTCTGCTGGACATGCTCAGTACTGCTCAGATTTGGGAGCTGAGCACTGGCTGCAGCTTGGCAGGGTGGAGCAGTGGCTCTGAGGCCTTCTGAGTCTCACCTAACCCAGGCTTCATGTTAGCAGCTTGGATGAGCTGAAGGAACAGGGAGTCATTTCAACAAGCCTGTTCTATTTTAAGGAACTCTTCAGCAAGATAATGCAAAAAGGATATGTATGGAATGTTTGTTTTTTTCCAGCATAGCATTCCTGATTAAAGAGCTCTGCGATGATGACAGGAAGGCATTAACTACTCTATAAAACTAATTGTCGTGTCAAGTATCGCAGAAAATTAAGGACATAATAGTGAAAGCTCCATTCTCATTTGGTTCCTGTACTCATGGGAGGGGTGCTGGCATTCGTGCTGGGCACAGCTGAGCATAGCCTGGCTCAGAGCTGAGACTGTCACTTGGACTCTGCCATGGGGCACTTGGTGGCCCTAGCTCTCACGAGGGATTAGCCAGCTCAGCCTCTGTGAGAACCTCTCAGCTGCAGCGTTCATCTTTTTCAACTCTTACTAAGGAGCAGTGTGAAGCAAAACAGGTTTTGGGAACTAAATGAAGGAAATTCTGCTATAAAGTAAATTTTGGGGTCTTTTTTTCCCCCACCTGGCATATTAAATCACAGAAAACTTGCAAGTGGTTGTTTTCTTAGGTCAGCTTACAGTTCTGTATGAATGTTAAGAATGGAGTTTAGAAATTATCAGACATCTTATTTTTAGGCTAACTAAAAGTAAATATATTACTAACTATTAATAATACAGAATTAAAATCATTCAATATCTAAATTGAATTCGTAGTGACCATAATCTTACTGAGTAGAGAGAATTAGATGAGTTCTTATTTTGGCCATACATTTTTAAAGTGGAATAGAAAAAAGGGTAAAATAATTATTTACATGTTCATTTATCTTATCTATTACAATTCTGTCACTGTGCCTATCATGGGAATATACAAATTCTGCCATTTTGTGAGAATAGTATGAGAATGCACTCTGCTTGAAATAGTTTTGGTTAAACATAGAGATGAAATTTCAAAATAGTTGCAATTAATTGTTGTGATAATAATTGCATTGAATGTAGTTGGTATCAGGAAAAATAGTGTATTGGGATTGTCATTTGTCTTCTTCAATTCAATAATTTTTCACTTCATTGGAACATACACACAAACCAAAAAACCAACTCCCTCACCAATCTATTTTCCAGTTAATTTGCATGATAAGGAATTAAGTATTAATAAACTGAGACTAAACATGCAAGGACGGTCTGCTGTTCTGCTAGAATAAACTTCAGTGAATAATTAAATTCTAATTTATGAATGCAAGGCTTGGCATTGGCAGAGTGCTGTTCCATAGGAAACTGGCAAGATTCTCTCTCCATTTCTTTTCACAAGCATATCTTGTAAACGACGAATTGCAGAAGAGGACAGACGGGAAAAGAGCCTCACACGGCAACACCCAAAGAAGAAAAAGGTCCACTTATACTTGCACGTTTGCTTAAAAATACTTTTGCCAAAGTTTATTAACATCCCTTAGCAAAAACAAACACTTCCTTAGAACTGCCAGCGTGTTTGCTGAATCACATGAGGAGAAGGGAAAACGAATTCCAACTGTTTTCTATGGCACAGATAAAACTGGAATAGGAAGAGGCACCAGGCATCAGCTGCTCAGGCTAGATAAGAAACTCACACTTGTGGTGTAGGCAGCTTCGGGTGTCCTCAGACGTGACAGGAAGTCGGAGACTTGCACATGAGGTTGCGTTGACCAGGATGTTTGCGCGCCGCAGGTCGGGTGCACGTAGCCATGTCCGACAGGTACTTCATGCAGAGGGATGCCGAGCATTCCAGTGGATAACGTGAAGTGCCGTCGTGCTTCTGCGGGCGAGAAAGCACAGCTACTTCCGTTCGTTTCGTGCTGCTGATGGCAACAAGCCCTCGTCCAAACATTTCTGTCACGTCAGCAGTGCCCTTGCAAGCTTTGGTTTTCAAGGACTTGAGCTGCTTGCAGTGCATCCATCTTCTCATTGTGAGCTTATCCTATCTCCTCCACATTTTCACACATTTATGTCTTTACTGACAACATTTTTGCTTATACTTGTTTACTATGAACATTTCCCAATGCTATTTTTAGAAGGACACAATTTCTTCCTATGGCTCAAGAAAAAGAACTCTTTTTATGTCTGCTTGATTGTCTGTATTGAGGTACTGCTGTTTGTCACTTTTTGGATTTTTTGGGGAGTTTATTTGTTAAAAAAAATCCAAAATTGAAAAAAGTTTGAGGCTTTAGTCATGCTGCTTGTGCAATAACTATCTCTGAATACTAGTTAATGGGGTGGAATTCAGGGGTTATTAGGTTTGCCAAATTTTCCTGGCAGATTAAAGTTAACTCAGACCATGAATGCATTAAACACGTTCTGAAATCTATTGGAGTTGAACATGTAATAAGAGTTATGCCATTAACTGTGCTTGCCCAGCTGGCAGCTTGCTGGGCCTCAGTTTCTCCATCTGCAGCATCAAAGTTAATCACTTTTTATGTCCTGCATCAGACAGCTCCTGAATTACGTGGCAGTGGGACATACACAGAAATGTGATTGCAGGCTGTCTGCTTTGTTTAGACCTCCCCTATCTACCATTCACAGCAGACTGCTTGCAGGAGTATTTTCGTGACCTCAACTGGCAGACATTCAGCTTCTCATGGATTATTCAGTGACCCAAGGCTTTTTATGTTCACAGGAACAGCCAAACAAATTCAGCTCCTGCAAACAAGTAAACTTCCATTGTCTCTTTCAACACTTTAGCATTGGGCTACTGACAAATAACAAGTTCTGATCAGCATTCAGGACACTTCTATTGCTTAGCTCATGCATTTAAGCAAGATGATTTTTATAGGGAAGTTCAGCAAATTCATTAGATGCAGCAAAGCAACAGGCTGAACTATGCTTAGCTTTATCCCTGCTCAGCAAAGTATTTCAGCATTCCCATAACGATTCAATGCTTTGGGGTCTATATCAAGCTAGTCAGGATATGAACATTTAAAGACTACGACAAAAAATCAGAAAGAAAATGGTAAAAGGAAGACACCAACACACCTTGTCAGCTAGATGACCTCATTGCTTCATTATACTTCTCAGCAACATTTGTACTGAAGGAGCCATGCCAAACACCACAGCCACCTCCCAAGAAAGCACATTTAATGACACTTCTTTGAAACCAGCTATTTACAGTTGATTTAGAGCAATTTTTTCCCCTTGAAAGTGTCAGTATCTTATATCAGGACAGTGAAGTTTTCTGTCTCTAAAATCTCCACACCGAAGTGGAGGCAGCTCTCCCCAGGTAATCAGGCACCCCCTCCCTCCTTGTCACCATCAAGGCCACCGATGAGCAGCTGGCTTGCAGAGGACACTCAGCTGAGGCTCAGACACAATGAGTCCCAGACTACCAGTGACAGATGTTTCAAATAAACTCATCCCATCCAGCAATTAAGCAAAGAGGGACAAAAGATTATATTCTTAACTACTTTAAGCTGCTTCCTGTAAAGGAAGGACAGGAATTCTAGCCAATATTTTTGTAATGAGGCCACATGGGATTTCTGGGTTTGCCTTTTATTTAATAATTCCAATTATTCAATTGATTAAAAAATTACAAAGCTGATTGCAAACAGTGAGTACTCTTCACACTTACCATGTATGGATTGCTTTTTTTTTCAGCTAACTGTAGAATTAGGATTTGGAACAAAGTGCCAGCACCTGATTTTTGCAGAATGACAATTCAAGCCCCTCTCTACCTCCACAACAAAGCACCAAACTAAACCAACCCCTCAAACCTCTGGATTTTACTTCCTCCTTAACAGCTCCATTTTTTCAACAAACCTCAGAGTCATCTGCAGCACCTCCCTTAACCTTTTGTCTACTTGGATTGCAAGCATTCATTCCTTCCTTTTTTAATTTCTGCTCTTTCAAGTCTAGTCCATGCTTGGCTGATTTTTCATAAAACAACCTTTTGTCTGCTCTTTCCAAGTCTCAGTACTTGCCTTACCAGTATAGCTATAATGCCTGAGTTTAAAACAATCTTGTGCTTTTGCCATTCTCTCCATCCTTCTTTCAAGATTTTTTGGGCTTCTGCCTTGACACAAAAAGTTAAAGCATCTTATCTTCACTGTTAAAGAAACGACAGACTTGCTAACATACCAGCTGCAATTTTATTCTGTCCTCCTTCTCCCTCTGTATGTTTCTTAGAATCCTCTACTGCATCTGTTCTCCTCTCTCTTTTCTCATGCTTGGTTTTATATTTTTTCACTGCCAGCCTTGCAGTTGGACCAACTACATTTTTACTGTCAGCAGAACAGTCTTTCCTCAGTCAAGTCTCTTTGTAATCACTTCTGCATCAGTTTCCATGCCAGCTGTATCCCCTTACCACCTATAAACCTATCATTCAATACAAAAATGTTTTGACGTAAGCTGATCGAGATACAGACTATGAGCTGTATTTAACCTTTGGAAAATTCAGCTAGGTTGATGAAATTACAGCAGGTCAAATCTGACCTCATATTTTCAGCATTTTTCAAGCCCCCAGGTACAATCCTTTGGCAACTTTCCACTATCTTGTTTCATTCACTTGGCATATAGGAAATAAAACGCTCATCTCACTGATAGGATGGTTGTTACCCAGGGCTTTATTCTGATTCCCATAGCTTAGATTTGAAATATGTTTTTGATAGGGTTCCCACTGGGCTGTTAAGGGTGTTAATCAATACTGGCAGCAATTCAGACCTCAGTGGACTCACCACATTTATCATATCATCCCATTAAATTTTAATCAAGCTTTGATGGCTTTGCTAAATAAACTTTTCTCAACAGCTGGGTATAGATGCAATATCAGAGTAGTTGCTCTTGCATTTACACAGCCCTTAAAAATGCCCTGAAAAAAGATCTTGATTCAGCTACAGTTTGCTTTTAAGAACCTCATGTAAGTGAAATATTCTCCTTGTGTTACAGACCTTTCAGGAGCACTAGCTTATAATGGGCTGCTGAAGAAGTTCAGTTACTGTAGGGGAAGAAGGAGAATATCCAGAATTTATCTCATTGCATTTTGCCCTCCCCTTTTCATCTCCAGTGCCCAGTTGAGTACTCTTCTACAAGCCCGTGGAATTTTTCTTCAGAAGGTTTTTTCCATTTCACTATCCAGTAATCTTTTGGAGGCATGGCCACTGGATTTTTCTGTATTGTTTCTGGATTCCATCTATTCCAAAATCCACTTCCTCATGAGCCAAAGGACTCAGATCACTTTTAGGCCTTTATCTTCTGTACAGGATTTACTACAGGTCTAAAAATTTTACTGCAGATTATTTAGATATCATTTTAGATGGAGAACAGCACTGAAAATGTGTGTGTCTGTGTCTAACTTAGATCATATTCACCACTGACACTGGTCACTGGGTGAAATATGCAGTTTTGTTATGCAGTTATTGTTACAGTTTTACTGTGCAAAGAATGGTGAAACTTTGTCAAGATAAATCTTCCAAAATTGAAGTTGCAGCTTGGTAGTTCCTGGAAGTGTAACTCATGCTGCAAACTATTGTGTATCACACTAAAGTTTTTATTTTTGGTACTAAATGAGGTCAGCTGATAATTTCTTCTTCATTCAACTGTTGACAGAGTTCCATGCAGACTTAATTACTATTAATAGATTCCATTAATTCAATTACTAATTACTTTAGTTCATTTTAAATGCTAATGAGTGTTTCTATACAGAGTGCAGAACAGCACTACCCCATACTTCTTCCCATCCAAATTCTATTCCCTCCACACAGGATTCATGAAGATCATATTTCTCTGGCTGCTCACAAGCATCTCATGTGAGACTTTTAAAGCCTTACTGAAGCCAAAGTTTATAGATCAACTGCTGCTCCTACAGCCACAAAGCCTGAGCCCTGCTACAAAAGGAAACCAGAACTGTTTGACAGAATTAGTTCTTGACAAATCCATGGTGGCTTACACTTATCTCACTGTTATCTTTAAGATGCGTAGACTTTGTTTGATAATTTGTTCCAGAAATCTTACAGCAGTTGACATTAAGCTGACTAGCCTGTAATTTCTTGGCTTCTTTTTTCCTCTCTTCTAAAACACATTCAAAATACCTTCATTTAAGACATTAGCTCTGTTCTGATCTTCTGATTTCTCATTTCTTGACAAATTCATAAAGAGCACACTGAGGCAGTCCACATTACCTTTCAAATTCTTTTTGCCTTCAAATACAAGACCATTGGTAATAAAATTCTTGTTGCCCGGTACTAAGAATATCTGTGGTATTTAATGTCTAAGTAAAAATATCTACATATTATAAATTCCCAGTATTTCTAAATTAAATTCTCACAGCAGCATCAGAAATACTGTTTTATACATCCTTTTAGGAGGATAAAACATTGCTTGAGAACAAATGCTGGCTCTGTAGCATCAGTGACAGCTTCTCAGTGCAATCTTAGGTCACTTAAATACATGCTGCTTACAATTTCACTGTTAATGGAATGCAGTCTTTCAAATTCACTTTATAATTGCTCAATCTCATTATAGCTAAAAAAAAAAAAAAAAAAAAAAAAAAAAATCAGCAGTTTCCAGGTTTCCAGTGCAGGTTTTCTGTTGTACAGATTGATTTTTGAATGCAAAATGCCACCTTTATCCTGCCAGGAAAGGAACGTGCCTCCAATAAATTAAAATGCACATGAATGCTGCATGGAAAAGCAAAAGAAAGAATATTAGTTATAAGCTCCAATGTTTTTGCCTCTCTGAATGCAAATAAATAATAACAGGAACCATTAAACTTAGGAAAGGCCATCTGGCTTTTTTCCCCACAGCCTACTCTGTCTGGTGAGGCCATGCTAGATAGATATACAACACACACTTTACAACCCTGTTTCACAGAATTTGCTGCAAGTGCTCATTTTTGTCTTCTCTCACTTTCCCCCCAAACTTGCTAAATGTGTCTGCCACAGCATCTAAACTGTAGCTGAAAAAAGGGTGAGTGTGATGGCAAAGCTGCTCTGAGAATAACTTCATAACGATTACTGCGAGAAACAGCAATATATCACAATATTTTCTCTGTATAGTAACACTTATCTTAGCCTCTGCTAGGCCAGCCTTGAGGGATTAAAGCTGAATTCCAGGGTTTCATTTGCTGTACAGTCTGCTGCAGCTGCTGCTCTAAGGCAATTAAGCGTATTTCTTATAGACTCTTATAAAGAAAAAAAAATGTGTGGCAGCATTTTCACTTACTATGCTTGCCTATATATAAATCTAACTTTTTTCCACAAGTATTTTAATTTTCTGAAGTGAATGGAAATCCATCAGCAGCAGTTTTGAGTAGGAAGGGGAGAATTACTGTGGCAAATAGCAACAATGAAGAAAGCAAGGTGGTGCTGTGATTACCCCTTCCTTTTACAGCTCTGAGGTTCACAAAACTGCAGAAGACTGAAGCACCTTTCAAACCTAAATATCTCTGTCTATCCAGCACACCTTGGACATGGAGTAGGAAAAAAAGCTCTGGTACTCTGCAGCTGCAGAAAAATACTGAAAGAAGTTCAATATTCTGGTGATATTCTTTGGTTCATTTTATATGATTCTGGGTAGCCAACCACAAACCTCCTCCAAAAAGCAGCTTTCAGACATGTTCCTTTTCTGTGTCTGAATCCATGCCCACACTGCCTGGTGCATGAGGAGGTGAGCACAGACCACAGCCAGCTCAGAGCTCTCCAGGAATCATTCTTCCCAAGAAGCCACCTCACCTCCTAATCACCCTGTTCCTTTCCACGTGATGCTAAATCCAATTATTTTAGCCAAGAATGATCCCTTAAATGGAGCTGTGAAAACAAAATGGAGCAGATGAGATTTTAACCTGAATAGCCCTATGAATCTGTGAGGCACAGGCTTGGAGAGTGGGTTGAGAGGGGGATGATGTGTTGGGGTGAGAAACCCAACCTTGGGGAAAGGACTTTTGTAGGAATTATTGTAAGCAACTCATAGGCTTGGCTCCAACAGCCATCTCCAACCCACAGCAGGGCAAACTGCCAAACTGCTTGCTAAAAAGGTTTTGTGGGTTTTCAGCTTTATTTTTCTCTTCTTTGTGGTTATTATGCATCTCTCCTGGTTGTCTTTCTTGTCTCTTCTGCAGCCTGTATCCATAAGCCCAAACACATCTGACTGCAACTACCCTGTCTAATCACTAACATTTTTCTATCAATACAGAGAGCTGCCCTCTCAACCCTTTTTGCCTTTATTATTTGCCTCATATGCCTGCAGAATAAAGGATTGCTGAGATCTCCATGACACGGGCAGGTGACTAAAACATAAAGACAATGTACCCCATACAAAGTCTGTGTGAAACTGGTAACAGGAAAATCTACCTGGGTCTCCTCAATTCCCAGGGTTAGCCACTTTCTTTCCAAGATTTCCTCTGTCTGGAAGCTGTTGGTGCAATGCTGAAGAGGCTTCTAGCCCCTGAGGAAATACTTAGCTGGAAACCCACATCCTTTTTCAGATAAATCTCTGCAAGTGTTACCAGAAATGAAGCCACATGAACCTCATTTCTGGTCAGACAATTGTTTCATTGATGGCAAATTACAGGTATGCTTTTGTGGGATGATAACCTACATGTCTCAGTGTTGTATAATAAAAACCTCCCAAACAACACTACTAAAAAAACTAAGTTTCATCTTTTGTAAATGAGTTTTAGATAATTGTGAAAATAATGCAGTATTTCTGAGGAAAATTCAGTGTCAAGTGTATCCAGCAATTTAGGATGTCTGATGATGCACAATCACTGAAATTAATTACCATCATCTTACAAAATTGGTTCTAATTAGCTGATGCCTTCCCACTCCAGAATATCTCTGAAGCAGCTTCATATTGCAAATCCATGCCAATGTTTTTTTACCCAAAAAGGCAACATTAGCAGCAGGCATACAGGATACTTTGTGGGGTGGGGAAGACATAATTCAGCTGAGCTTGCTGTTAAATCCATACAAATAGCAGAAAGTGGGCACTGCTGTCTCTAAAGGAAGGAAATAAAGGCTATTTAGATTTTAGGGGTGAGAGATGAAAGCGTGGGGAGAATCTTCTGATTTGTGGCACAACCTGTACTGGCATGAAAGCAAATATCCCACCATGGCTGTGAGGAGGGTGATGGCAAATGGAATTATTCCTCTGGAATGCCCTCACGTGGCTCACCACAGAATCTCACATGGAATTTGTAAGACTGACCCATTTTTGCAGGCTTTTGGAGAAAGACAGATGGAAGGATGTGCTGGGGAATTTTTGCTGGTTGTGGTATGTGGGGAAATATTTCTTATGGTCAGAAATGGACTTTTTTCCCTTTGTGTAAAAACACTTTGCACTGGAACAATTGATTCCTTTAAATAATAAGAAAGACAGACTATGTGATAAGCCCTTCCAAATCCCACAACATTTGTTATAGTCACTGAACGTCTTTCATTAGGATTGCTAAAGATAAAGCCTCTCTGCTGCTTTGTATCTTCACAAAAGCTTTTAAAAATGTCGACTTATATCTGCAGGAAACAACTATTATTAATGAAGCAGCTGGATTTCTTTTTAAATAGGTTACTTTGCAGCCATTTGCTCTGCTAATTATAAACAGAAATGCTGACATATATCTACAGTGCTTTGGGATGTTGAATAATATCTAAAGTACATTTAAAAAGCATTTTAGAAGAATAACCCATATCTGAAGTGTGAATTGAAGCTGTAAAATAATATACATGAAAAACAGCTGCAGAAATTATTAGCTCACATTTCCCCCCAGCAGTTCTTCTACCAAATATCTGATGCAATGTGAGAAGCATTGCTCCCACAGTAACATCATAATTCTGCTGATGCCACTTTCTATTAAAGTATCCTAATAAGTAGTAACTGTTCTGATACATGAATGCATGTGAAATAAACCTGGAATATAGATATCACACCAGAGCAGTTCAGAGAAAGGTAATTCTCTCTCATGAATTATTTCAGGACTTGGTTCTATTCTCTTCTATGAAATTCTCCACACACACACACACACACACACACACACACACACACACACACACACACACACACACACACATATACAGAGAACAATGTTTTGGGCCCAGACAAAACTTCCTGGGGCACTGCTGAAAAATCACAGAGCAGGAAAGCTGCAGGTACTCAAATCAGGGGCAGTTCCTGTGCTGCAGATGGACAGAGGGATGAGCCAGAAAGGAAAGGGGAGTAATTTTTAAAAACTGCCTAGTGTCCAATACATGGATGATACCAAATGCTCCATAAAAAAACCAACCAAACAAACAAACAAAAAAAACAAACCAAAAAACACCAAACCAAAAAAATCAACCAAACTTGATTTTGAGAAATCAGCAAATTCTCACAGGAAGCTGCTGGTGTGTTCTGACAACATAACAGATATCTGCCATTTTTCTTGACAATGGAAAATAAAAAAAAAATATTTGGGAGAGTAGGTGAGGAGGACAACAAAGAAACGTCAAAGAAAAATTCCTATGGAATAATCCAAACCAGAAGGCAAAGAGAATCAGGGTCTGGAGGTTCTGTGTCAGTGGCTCTGCTGTACTCTCAGGGCTGCATCCCTTGCTCCAAATGCTCTTCTCTGGTGGCTTCCCCTCTTCCCAACAAATACTGCCTGCATGACTTTCTCCCCTCTCATGTAAATCTTTCTGAAGTGTTGGCTGCTTTTCCCTCCTGCTTATTCACTTTTTTTTCCCTAAGCAATTCCTTCCTCCTGCTACCACAGATGAGCCTTCAATCACCATCACCAAGATTTTCACATCAATATTTCCACAGCTCCCTGTTGAATGTCTCTCCTTTGGGATATCCTTCCAAACAAGTTCCCAAACCCACAGGCCCCCGACTTCCCACAAGCCCAGATTTAGCATTTTGCAGGATGGAACGGGCAAGGCAGTGGGGCTACTGAGGGATGGTGTTTACTTTTTAAGACAAATCTGAGATACTTGACATTAAAATTATTCCCACAGGGTCTCAGGTCACTGGGTCTCTGGAGCATTTTCAGGGGTTCTGTTAAAAAAGAGACTATTTTAGGATAAGTTCAGCTCACAGAGGGGGGTCATTCTTTCCTTTTACATTTTTAAAAAGAATTAAATACAATTTTGCTAGCATATTAATCACATTTTCTGTAGCCCTTTAATGTTTACTAAGGACCTTTGGGGGTTAATTAATGCCAGGACATTTCACCCATGAACTGTTTTCTAATTCAATTTGTTAAATGCAAGTAGCCATAAATGTTATAAATCAATTACTGAGTATATTCTACGCTTCACCAACCAAAAAAATCATAACAGAGTATTTTTGAAGGTGATTGAGAAAAATGAACCACTTCCATAAGGCCAGGCATTTATGCTTCAATTTATCTTTTCTTTCACAAAAACAATTTGAAATACATTTTGCTAAATACAGGAACTACTTTTGTAGAAGAAATCAATTATATTCTGAAGTTTAAATCTTCTTTTTTTCCAGCCGTGCTCTAATGTATTACTGTACCTCAGAAACGTACCCTGGGGAAAAAGCTTCTATTCTTCACCAGAAATCCATGAATAACATTATGTAGAAATTAATTTGCGATAAATGATTTAAAATCTTAACCTAGAATGGTTTCTGATTCAAATGTCATCAGAAAATGGCACCTCACCCGCAGGAAGGAGTCAAGGGATCCGTTCTCCATGTATTCAACTACAATCATTACTGGTCTGCCTGCAAAACAGCAAAGAGACACATCAGGATTATGGACATATTATGGGACTTTTACAATTCTAGCTGTTCTGCAGAGGTTATTCACAGTAGCTGAATATATAAAATATTTCCAAAATTCTCATATCACAAACACAATTCCATGTGTTACTCCTAGGAATTATTTTCTATGCACTTTCTTTTTTCTTTTGTTCTTACTTGATTAGCTGAATGCACATCATTCACTCTGGTGTATTCTCCCTTAAAAATGATCAAAGAAGAGCCTCCTATCTCCAAATAGAAAAACTTGCCGTGTAATATTTTGCAATGTATCTGAATTAAGGAAAAACCCAAATATTCATAAGCCATGTCCAAGTAATTACAAACTGAGTATCATAATTTTCCTCTCAAAGAAAAATCTCAGTGACCTAGGAACATAGAAGACAAATAGATGGGGTGTCACAAAAAAAGTTCTCCTAGATCTACCGTATGCATTGGGTGTGTATAATCCAGAAAAACACTGAATTAATATGTTGCAAATGCCTAAAATATACACAGTGTTACTCAAATCAAGGCTTTGCTCAACCAGCACAGTCCCAGGGTGGCATCATATCCAAAAGCAGAACAAGACATTACATTTATTTCTTGAAAGGATATCCAAATCTGAAGATACACTTTTGAAGTGTGTACTTAACTTAAACACCAGCTCACTGTGGGTACCCTTTAAAAAAAAAACAAAACCTTCTACAAGTGCTTGACAGCAGAGGGGCAATCAGGCTGCCAACCAGGCTGCACAGCAATTGTTACAATTATTAATATCACAAAGCAGCCATTCTATACAAAAATTTAATTAATAAGAATGTTATTAAGATTAGGAAGAAGGTGAAAGGGCTTAAAATGGCAGCCTTTTCTTTTCCTGGGAATGCCCATCTCTTCTGGGGTTTGTGGGAAACCAGAGCTATGCCAAGTGGCGACACTGAGTCCACCATCTCACTTCCTCAGCTCCACACTACCTGGGTCAGTATTTCTCAAGCCCAAAAGAAGACTCTTTCATCACTTTTTTCCCCCCTCTCTTCTGCTCAAATTATGTTTGTGGTTTTCTTGGATGAGGGGATGAGAAACAAACACAGGGCTCAGGCTAATGAAGCACAGAAGGCCATTTTGATTGTTCCAGCACAACTGTCCATTTCTGTTCAGTTTGGTTAGTAGTGGAGTGTTTATTAAACTGTCCACAATGTACAACAGGCCACAGGCAGGTATTTCTCCTGAGCTGTTACAGTTTACCTTCAATCTAAAAAAGTGAATGATCCATTTCTGTGTTTGCTCCAGCATGTTGACCCAGAGTTTTGGGTTCCTGATAATGCCCATTCACAGAGCTTAGTCTAGTCTTTTTGTAGTTCCTATCAATATTCCCTCATTTCCTCAAAAAAAAAATTGTCATTATTTCTGTATTGACTCTCATGTTCACATCTTCCATGAATAAAACATTAAACAGTGTTGTCACAATACTAGTTTTTTGTGTGTGTGTGAAAATTCCCCAATGCCTAGATAGTTTTTATGGATAGCCTCTGGAAGTGTGAAGAATAACCAGCTTCTTTCTTTTTTAACTGAATGTTTAGTCTCAGCTGCTGATGTGCATCTGCCACCAAATCAATTATATTTATCTGCACCCATTGGTTATACCCTGGTTTTGCATTATAAACGTGAAAGATACATCACTTTTAAGCTCTTAGTGATCAGAGCATTTAAAAAAATCATGTTTCCTTCAGTTCAATTTGCTAATGATGACTGGTTGTACAGCCCACTCTCTTTAGTTTCAAGCACATGAATGCCCCAGATTCCCTTACCTTTATCATTTCCTTACTGTCACAGGACTGACACCTCCACATGAAGGGAAAATCCTAAAATCTAGAGAAGTAAACAAACTGCAGCCTGATGCTAGAGAATCTTACACTCTACAAAACCCTCTTGAGAAGTAATAATTTCTGAATTGATGCAGACAATAGCATTTTTCAATAAATAGGGGTGTAAAGCTGGCTTTCAGATGGCATATTTGGTCAGGAAATTCTCTTTCTGGGTAAATAAAAAACACCTATAAACATGTAAAACACCTGTACAGAAAATTTGCATTTGAAGGGAGGACAAATGGAGCTTTAAAACAGAACTCCTGGTTGCCTGTGGGTAGTCCTTTGGCACTCTAGACTTTCCAGAAGCTGTAATTTTCTCTAGAGGTTCACAGGCTCTCATTGCAGCTTTTATGCTCCTTAGATTCATATGCTTCAACATAAATTATTTTCATACTTGCTAAAGAGAACTATTAATTCTTCTACATTCTCTCACAAAATATTCCTCCCTCCAAAGAAACCCCACCTGTAATTCCTTTTGCTCAGGCCCTGTGCTCCTAGGTTAAAGTAATTATGAAATATATTTATATGCCTTAATCTGTGGATTTAAAAAAGATATTTTGGTATTTTTTTCCATTGAACAATGAGATTTTAAAGCACTCAACTTGAGTGACTTGAAATGACATGTCTTAACACAAAACCACCTCTTCGAAGTGACAGCACAAGAATGGCACTAAATACACCAAAAAAGCAGTATTTTCCTTCTACAGGTTGCTGTATATCGGAAAATCAGCATATCATCAGTAAATTTAGTCACTTAGGCTGATAGCTTCCCACTCTCTGTATCACTTGCCATGCTACCCAAATTTCAAATGAAATTGAGGTTGGATTGTGTCAAGACACCACAATGTGTCACGACACCATGAAAATAAACCCGGCTCCATCAATTGATTATCTCCAGCAAAAATCTTTAATCTGGACACAAATTTAAATTCTCAAATAATCTGGTCTTTAGTGTGACAGCACTTGATAAAAGCCACCTGATTTTGGCTGCAAGTTTAATGTATCTCTGGAACTATTTATGTATTCCAAGCCAGACTGTGACAGTGACATTTTTAGTCAGCACAGTATTTGTCTTTGGAGCACCTGTGGATTAAAAATGTCTCAGCTGTTGTTAGGGTGGCTTGAAGACATAGTAAAAAACTCTGGAACACAGTAGAATCCAGTGGGAACTTTTACCATCAAAGTAGCAACACTGGCTCTATTGCCAGAGTGTTATCCTTTACAGAGTAGTTCAATTTGAGTCCAGAAAAACTTGTATGTGCTGGACCCCTGTACAAACACAAAATATTGCTGTAGTTTTAAAGAGCACTACAAAACTGACTTTAAAAATAATACTGGGAGATTTCCAAACTAGTGTAGTGTCTGCATCTAAATAAATTAAAAAAAACCCTATTACTTAGACTATGAAAACTCACGTTGTTCTCATGGCACTAGGAATTCCTCATCCTCAAAACAAGAACAGGAATGAGTAAACAAGAGCGGGGCAGAGGAGTCTCTGAGACAGAGAAGCAATCTTTGATTATTTTATCAAGGGGTAGGCTAATGCAAGGCTGGAAGGCATTGAATTCTTTTCCCAGGATTGCTTACAGCACACACACAAAAAAAAAGGAGAATAAAGAGGTTTAAGAACAAAGAGCAGAGGGATACAGATGGCAGCCAAGGCACTCCTGGGAGTGACAACGACCTCCATAAATGGCTGAACCTCCTGGGATAGGAACACACCCATCTCCAGCCCAGTTCAGGGAAGTGTTTCCACACAGATACAGGAACAGGTACAGGAGAAGGATCTGAAGAAGTGAGTTAATTTTGCAGTCAAGAGCTACGCAAGAAAAGGAATGGAAAAAGAACATGGAAAAAGATGTCAGCTGAGGGCTTGGAACCAAGGAGCTGCAAACTGTGGGTGTTGCTGGAGGAGAGCACACAGCTTCTTGTTTGAACTGGGGGAGGATGAAATAAAAATGTTTGAAGCTGGTTCAATGATCAAATCAGTCAAACAAATCAGACTCGCAGCAGTTTTAGATGCTGAGCACTGCTGGAGTGGGGAGTACTGTGAGAGAACAGAGCTTTTAAAGCAGAGGAATTATAGTGTCCTGAGAGCCCTAAATATAGATTTTACACACTACAGATATCCCATTTATAATCTGCAGCACATTATAACAGGTGTATCATTTTACTACATAGTTAAGGTAACAACATGATTTCAACTGTATTTATACATGACACACACACTGATACCATCCCCACATTCTCTGTTCTCAGAATTTTTGGGAAAGCATAAATATTCCCGCCCCAGACACATGTGGGATATTGTCTAAAGCAGTTTTCCCTCTTGCATTTGGAGTAACTGTGGCTCTGGGAGATCCACTTCAGAGTTCCAGCATCTCAGAAAGCCACACTGACCACACAAGAGCAGCACTGGGGCTTGGCATGATGCAGGAAAAGGACAGCAATTCAATTTATCACAACTGAGATGAACCTATAGAAAGGGCTATTCACTGCTTTGAGGCAACTCCTGCCTTGTGGCAAGAGGCTTTGGACAACTTTCCCTAAGAAAGTTCTTCCTTGCAGTTCTCCCACTCAACTGCACTACAGTGCCACTCAAACAAAACCAGTGAAAATGACAAACAACTTGTACTGATGTCATGCCACCCCAGAATATGCTGCAATCTTGTATTTTCCATAGATCAATCTGCTTGTCATTTTTCTAATAAGGAGGAATGCAAAAAAAGAAAAAAAAAAAGGAAAAAAAAAGAGCCATAAATTGCCAAATAATGTAAAATACCGATTAAATCTGAAATTCACATTATATATATTTTTAGGTTTTTTTTTTCCACAATATTTTGATAGCATGCAATTTAATTGAGTGCCAGAGTGATGAATAAGAAGGAGAATCTGAAGTGTCATATCAATGACAAAATATTCAGCTTGTTGTCTCTTGTTGTCATTTTAAATAATGCAGCAAAGCCTCCTTTAATGAATGTTTTATGTAAGATTAATCCTCCAAAAAGAATAGTTTGCACATGTTCTTTTTCCACAGACTTACAATGAAATCTCTAATACCAATTATAGGGATAGATTTGTTAATATAAACATGATACTCATTCTTTCACTTAAAAC